TAACAGCCAACCACTAGAACAAACTAAATAACAAACTAGACAAGTGGACTGGACAAGTGGAGAGGCTGGTATAACAGAATTGTAACAGCAGTGTATAAATAACAGCAGTGTTATAACAAAATCGATTATTGAATTGGGAATACAACCTCTCTTCCTTTCCATCTCTCTCTCTCTCTCTCTCTCTCTCTCTCTCTCTCTCAAGAGTCCCTGAGTTAGGCAGTTCCTAACAAGTTGGTATCAGAACCAATTCAGAGCCAAGATGCCAAGCACAAGATCATCAGCAATGGAGAACAGAGTCGATTACATGGAAGGAGAAATGCAAAGAATATCAGCCAATATCAAAGAAATCAAAGAAAGCTTTGCATCCTTGCTGGAAAGACTGGCACAGGCACCACCGGCGCAAATTCAGGAAGAACGCAGTGACACCAGTCATCGAAGTGGATCAAGAACTGCAATAATCGAGTTTCCCATCTTCACAAGAGGAGATCCCACTTCCTAGCTTTTGCGAACAGAAAGATACTTCGATTACCACAACACACAAGGCCCTAATCGTGTTCCACTAGCCTCTGCACACCTGGAAGGAGAGGCGATCGGTTGGTACCAATGGTACCGGTGACGACACCCAAGGGCCACATGGGCCGACTTCACCAACGCCTTAACCATGCGATTTGGGGTCTCAACCTTTGAGAATTATGACGAAAGCCTCGCTAAGCTACGACAGACCGGCTCCGTCCAAGATTATCAGATGGCGTTTGAAAGATTGGCAGTGCACGTGCAAGGCTGGCCAGAAAACGCGYTTGTCGRCAGTTTTGTTGGAGGACTTAAGGAGGAATTGCGGCTGGAGGTAAAAGCCATGCAGCCCACCACCGTTCTTGAAGCAGCATCAATAGCCCGATTACATGAAGACAAAACCGGGCAAGAAGGATCAGCCGACCCCTGGGAGCTGCGATCAGACCTGGTGTAACCAACCAAGAACCTAGAATCTTGGGTAAACCAGAGCCCAGATCAGGAGTAGGAATCACAGGCAGGGATGCCAGCTCTGGTTCAGGCCCCGGCTCAGCCAAGAGGTTAACCTGGGCTGAGATGCAAGCCCGACGAGAAAAGGGCCTTTGCTACGCATGTGGAGACAAGTTCGGGCCGGGCCATCGC